AAAATCAGGAGGCTACCTGGTGGCTTATTTTAATAATTACAATTTCACTGTCCCTTTTGGATTCAGAATTTGATTCAGTAAATGAAGCTGATTTAATAATACAAAAATAAATGGAAATTAGGCTCCTTAAGACTTAAATCAATTTGAATTTTGCCAAATTTCAGTTGCCAAAAGTGAATCATGATTATTGCATTTTCTTAGCTTAACAGACAAAATTATTTTGGGGAATATCTTTATTAGTGCAACATCTTGCCATGACACACATTAATTTTGTAAATGTTATATAAATTGACTCCTTAAAACCAGTTTATTCTATCATTATAACTTATGGTAGCTTTCTTAAAATGTGCCATTAGCTACTCATTTATAAACTGTTAAACTAAAGTAGACATGAGCAACCAGAACTGTACGGGAATCACTTGGTATATAGAATATACATACTTAGCTTTTTTCTTATCTTTCATTCTTTCTTTTTTCTTACCTTTTTTCTTATAGCCATTTTTTATTATTGGTTGAAAGTCAGGAACACATTTTAAGATCTTTTAAATATAAAATATTGTAACACTAATACACAGCTAAAATTATACAGGCTTGTGGAGTCCTTGGGGTTCTCTGAGCTTGGTTCTTTTCTTGCAAACATTTCATTACCCGTCTAGGTAACATCTTCAGTGCACTCACTGAAGATGCTACCTAGACAGGTAATGAAACATTTGCAAGAAAAGAACCAAGCTCAGAGAACCCCAAGGACTCCACAGTTCAACCCTGAGCTACACATATTCACCTCTATAGGTTATACAGACTTGCATTAATTAAAAATTAATCACCACTTGCATAGAACTTTAATTAAATAAGGTTAGTACTTAAACTTGCAGCCAATATAAAAGATTATAGGATTATAAAAAAATTAAATTCATTGCAAATTTCTTTAAAATATCTGCATTTGCTATTTCTCTTTAAAAAGACCATAATTTAATGTATTTGTATTTATGAATACAGAATGATCGCTAATACAATTGGTTTTGTCTTTAACAGAATGATTTCTGGAATTTAGTTACCCATATATTGGCTTTTTTTTTTTTTTAAATTAGGTGCATTTCTGGAATTTTCCAGAAAGTGGAGTATGAACTTCTTAAGTCATTTAAATTTCTGCCAACATGTGGAAACTATCAATAACCACAACGGAATGCCAATATTCCTGAAATTGCAGTATTCTGTAACCAGTAACTGGAATCATATGCATTGGTAAAGTGTATATTAAGAATGCGATGCACACTGCATAATAATTTTGAGTGTTATTTCACTTCATTTTTTTATATGGAAACATTCATCCACTAAAAGAAGAATTAAGTAATTGTTGTATTTGTTTAAATTAAAATAACACAGTTTAACTGTTCCTCATGAAACAGTTATTTTTCTCTGTAAAGTTAAAACTTCCTCTTTTCTTATTCTGCATGCCAGGTTTCTGTTACAGTTTCATAATCTGCATTTATACACACAAAAAAGATTCCGTTTTGTTTAAAAAAAAAAGCTGCTTCACTAGTAACAGTTACAATTCTTTCACTGATTCTTTTGCAGATCCACAAATTCTGAAACTCTCATGAACAATAAATTCTAAAACTCACAAGGATAATACATTCTAAAACACTCAGGAATTGTGGGTTTTCATTGATTACAAATTCATTCAGTATTTGAACTTTAATAAGTGCAATATTATACACTTATAAAATTCTACAAAGTAGCCACTGAACTGATTTAGATTAAAACATAACAAATAACCAATTTCATATGATTAACAAAGATGAGACCAGATTTATGCTACAAGTGGATTCATTTTTAAGATATTACAGGCCCTGCATACTCAGAACAAAATTTCTGAATAACTGAATCTGAATTTCTGCCTGTTTCCAGTTTAAGAATACAGCATATGAATGTATAAATATACTAAATATAATGCAATTGTTTGACAGCCAGTTTGGTGCAGTGGTTAAGGCATCAGGCCAGAACCCAGGAAAGCAAGAGTTCTAGTCCTGCCTTAAGCACAAAGCCAGCTGGGAGTCATTCTCTCTCAGGCCTAGGAAGCAGGCAAGGGCAAACCACTTCTGGAATTCTTGCAAGGAAACTGCAAGGACTAGTCCAGGCAGTCACCAGGAGTCAAAAACTCACTCAAAGGCAGGACTTCCAGAGGAAGAAATGGCAGACTGAAGTGGAGCCAATGACTGCGGTGAAGAACAAAGATCTGATGAGTAGAACAACTCTTCAAACCTCTCTGGACAAAGAGAGGATGGGAGATTGTCCACAAGTGCTCTAGATAGTTGCTCCTTGCGAGGAGACTGTAAGACAGTAGTCTCCAGTGGGTTTAGAACTCTGGGAGACAAGGGAAAACCATCTTGCTCAAGCCACAGTCAGCACCTTTAAAAGGACACTAAGTTCACTTCCTTCCTTTTCTAATCACTTTTGGAAATTGCTTGATAATTACTTTTTAGCTATTAAAGACCTTTCGATCGACAAGTCTGAAGACACTGGGTGAGTCTGCTTTCAATCCTTAATGAAAGAAAATTTTAACTACAAGCTTAAGAACTTAAAAATTTTGAAATAAACAGCAAAAAGCTAATTAAGATTTTGATTGTAGAAAATTATAAATGGATTAAGGGTCCAGATAAATTTGAAATAAGATTTGGAAATTAATTATAAAGAATTCTTCCCATGGGAAAGTGGACTTGTTTTGAATTTTTTCTAAGGCATAATAGAGATAAGCAATTTTAAAAATTGGACACTAGAGGGAACTAAATGTTTTAATTAAAGGAGAATACATAACCCTGCTTAACAGCTACAGAATGATGCAACATATTATAACATTGGAAATACTGAAGGTCACTTTTGAAAAAATGGAATCAGAAGTTAATATCAACAATGTCAATAGTGATATTTGCTTTTATGGCTAGATTGTGTCCAAAAGATGTTATGGAAGAAATGGAAGAAGAGGAACAAGCTTTATCTGACAGAGACAAAGTTGACACTAAAAGTGGATCTACAAATGACAGGCTACAAGAATGACATGGAAAAAGATGTCTCACTGGACATATAAAAGAAATCAGTTGTTGCTTTAAAAATCAAAAGGGAATTACAAATAATAAACCAAGAGAGTGACCTGGATAATTATTTTATATTGGATTTACAAAAGAGACTTGTTAAAGCTTGGATGAATCTTGTGAGAAGGGGCAAAGAAGAAATGAATTCAAGTTGTGACATTATTTGAATGGACTAAAGATTAAGATTGAAGGAAGACTAAAGATTAAGATTGAAGGAAACAAAAGGAAGGAATATAAAGATTGGTTTATCTGATCAAGATTAAAATAGATATGTTGTTGTTACTGGCAACCCTTAATGGATTTTTGCTGACACCAAGACTGAAATGACAATCTTTATGAACTTGTTTATAGATAAGAGATGGGACATAGGAGGAAGAGATCATTGGTTGTAAATTAAGAGGAAGTGAAAAGTTACTAAAATTGCTTATACTTGATGTAATGAAGGTTAGAATTCACGTCTTTATATATTTCTTTTCTCTTTCTTTACTATATTCTTACTTTTCTTTCTATCCTCTGTTTTTTCTTTTCCTTTGCACTTTTTATTCTTTCTACTCTTTCTTTCTTTTAGCTTATATTAATTTTTACTATTGCAATTATAATCTTTAATAAAATTATTTTTTAAAAAACTGACTCAAAGGCACAAAAAAAGAGCAACTGTTCAGTGTCTTTAAGTGAACATCTGCTCCAGTTTTTTAAATAAAGAAATAGTAGGGGGATAGGTTTTTAATACTAAACTATGTATATAACACAGAACCTTTCCTCTGCTTACCAGTTATGACCTCACACAATCTCTTACAACTGAATATACTGTAGTTTTAGAGCTTAACTAAAAATATAAAAGTAAAGTACCTTGGCAAATTGATAAAGCAAGATATGAGGAGTGATGGACAGACTAAGCCACATGTTCCTTTTGCTAACAAAATGTCTGCCCCATTTTTATATGATTCATGCATATCACTTTTTAAAATCCAAATTGTTACTATCAGCATGGTTGCTTTAGGATTAGCTTTATGTTTGGCTGTAAGGATTTTAATGCCTTTTATTGAAAAAGATTCTTGATTCCCTCTTTGGAAGAATGGCTAACTAAATTGTGGGGCTATGTCTCGATATCCAGAATAATTTTGTATTTAAAAAGCAAATCCAATGGAAAATTTAATTTTAATTGTAAACTATTCTTGTACTACAATCTTATACAAGGAATTATACCACATCCAAAATTTGGGGTTTAGAGTTCATATTTTAATGTATAATTTACAGTATTGGTGGAATGCGTTATTCACTACCTATAGCTTTCTTTCAATGATTGGAACAGTGTTAACCAAGCACTTTTAAAGTTTGCATCTGACATTATGGCTATAATAAACAATTTGATTTGAATTTAAACAGGAATACATGGATTTTGATCAGAAAATGGACAAGAAATATCAAGATATCAAGAAACATCTATAAGTATCTAATTATGTGTGGAATATCTTAATTTTATGATGTTTCAGGTATGTTACTTGTCCACCTGTATTTCTCTATTTGTACCTGATTTTCTCATTTCTACTACCTATTTCTTATATTTTTGAAAATATAAAAAAATACATAAATAATTTTTAAAAAGGAGTAGCATTACATTCAATGACCTATTAAAGCAGCTGCCCCTTTCCAGATTTACACAGAAACCTAAAAAAAAGTAGGCAGTTTTGATAAGAAGCAGGGAGATAGATGTTGTGTTCAAGCTACAGCAGATACACTTCAGCTGTATTATTTTCATCATTTTCAAAGCTTGCACAAGTCTGATTTATACAATACCAGATGAAATATTTTTTTTGCCTCTGTCTTAGGGTCCTCTGGCAGAAGGCTTTAGAAGACCTAATTTCAAAAATTATTTACAATACTAAAATACTAAGTGATTATTAAACTTACCTTCCCTTGTCAACAAAACTACTGGAACAACTATGGCTGTAATGATAACTGCAAGGGCAAGAAGGCCTAATAGGTATTTCACTACCGTCTGTAAAGAAACAAATGAAGAAGTTAGACATGTGCTGGAAAACAGGGAAAGATCTTGGCTAAGCCAAAAGCCTATTGACTTCAGCATCCTGTTTCCAACAGTGATGCTTCGGAGAATTGCATTAGCAAGACATGAGCTCTCATATTTCTGGTATCATGAGGAATGTTGGTAAAGATGCAAAAAAACATACCTAGTGGCAAAATGTGTTTTCTGAGCTGTGCCTCTCTCCTTCCCACTTTCTGAAAATTAATATTTTTGGTATATGTCCAGAATACATAACCTTCTTTTTCTACAATGTTGGTGGTTTCCTGTATTTTCAGTACTTTGAACCTGCCTCCTTCTCCTACAAAGGTTAAAATGAGATGCTAGATTTCTTAGGATACAGCACTTTGTAGTACCAGTTGTAACAGACATTAAAAACATTTTAAGTAGATTCAAAAAATAAATTTATAGTTAATGAGTGAATACTTTTCAATTTTATACTGTACCTCAACCATACTTTTATGAACAAACCAAACTACCTGTAACACATTTCATAACATAACCAAATGACTACATATTCATAAAGGATGATAAAACTAACTTCAGTTTCCCTCCAAAATTCCACTTTTTCTGAAAAAACAAAACTATTTTTCCCTATTGTTTCTAAAATTCCAGAAATTTTGCTTCTTTAATCCATATCCATGACATTACAAAGTAGTAACCCTCATCCACGCGCAATACAAATCAATCAGGTCTCTTGTCTTTCACTTGAGTGATTTATTTTAATTTTGTGCTAAAATATTATTGGAATTCACAATACTAATTAGGCTTCATACATTTGAAAAGCATTCTTGAATTAAAAACTTCCTTCAATCATCTTACCAATCATTTTTGATAAAATTAGCCTTGAAGCCAGAGTATTCAAAGGATAGATTATTTTTTTTCATGGAGTAGAAAAAAGCTTGCTGTTTTTCATGGAGTAGAGCAAAACTAAATGCAGGTGGATTGCCAACAGGCCTTGCCTTAAAAAAAAAAAAAATCTCACCCATCATCAGGTTTGTTCCATCATCATCATCATCATCATCATCATCATCATCATCATCATCATCTCCTTTGAATCAGATTTGACTCCAGTGACTACATGGATAAGTCCCTATAGTTTTTTTGGCAAGATTTTCGGAAGTGGCTTGCCACTACCTTCTTCCTAGGGCTAAGAGAAGTGACTGGTCAATGGTCACCCAGCTGGGTTCATACCCAAGGCAGGATTAGAATTCCTAGTTTCTAGCCTGGTGCCTTAACCGCTACACCAAACTGGCCTATTTAATTTACCAACAACAAATTTTAGCTATTTGATTTTTTCCTTTGATTGCTCTTTTAATACAAACAAGCTGCCATGTAGCAGTCTTATCAACATATAAATAGTAGGATTACTTTAACATGAAATTTATTTCTCTAAGTGATGGTGGAACCTCAACAGCTACACATTATTCTAGCAACAAGGCATATTAGATTTTACATATAATCACCATTTTATCTTGTAACTCCCATTCAGTATTGCAGATCTTTGCCTGAACCTTTGTTGATTTCATAAGGCTACCTGCGCATTCATCTACAATCTGAACTTCTATGCTGTGACCATACAGGTTTCACTTTCATAGAACAGACATTCAAATATTGTATCAACCATCTTTTCTGCGCTATATTCTTTATATCCCTTTTTCAAAAAGAAGTATACTTATGAATGCTGTGAACAAACAACACAGGCGGGAGTATTTCTGTGGTCCCTGTGTCCTCCCAAACTGACTAAGATCCTGGAGTACATGGCTTGCCACTGTTGAAGGAAGAACACAACACTGAACTCCTAGGTCCAAACAATTTTAGCCTCATACAGACAAGAGAAAGGCACTCCAGCATTTTTAATGGCTTATCAAAATTGAACTGAGCACAGGAGTTTTGCCACAGGAAAGAACTTTGCTATTAATGGACATTTCGTTGAATTTTTAAGGTACACCTGGGGGGGTCTAATCTGAGACCAGGTCCCTAATTCTACTGAAGGGTCGAGGCTATCTATTTAGTGTTATTCAGTAGTGGGGAAGTGCAATTTTCCATATGCTCAGTAAAACCGCCTTCTTCAGCGCTGGGCCGAATAAGGAGGCTAAACATCTGAACCGTGGAGTGCGTTAAATCGTGCATGTTCACTGGCAACAGGACCGAGAACGATGAAGGTCCCCCTGAGAAAAAGCAGGGGGACCACTAGCTGAGGCGAGCGCCCCAAAGGCAGCCTTCCTGGCGCGCGAGCAGCGCTTTCGCTCAAGCACCTACAGGAGTTTCGCCGCAGTTCTCCGCGCGAGAATAGCGGCTGCTGAGCTAGACGTTAGGGGTGCAGTTCACTTACTGACCTTCATCGCGGGAAGCTCCTGCTGGTTCTTTGGCTTCCAGGGAAATTAGTGTAAAAGGGAGGAAACAGCAGCGGCAGGCGCCTTTCCCGCAGGCTCACTCGCCCCCCACCCCGCCCCTTCTGTCCCGGATACTCTGTGTAGGCCGCCAAGTTAAACATTAGAGAACTTCGGAGGCGAGGGCAAAATCTTCTCCTGGCTGTCACTCTTCCCAGGATGGGGCCCCGCGCAGAAAAGCAACCAGGGTGGGAGGAGTCAGGTTGGTCGAGAATGTCAGGAAGAGGTGGAGGGTTACCGAAGGCGGGGGAGACAATGTGGGGGCGAGGTGCCAAAGCACGG